GCTAATTCCGATTGCTAGGGATAGGGAATGATTGTTTTTGTTTAACGTATCTGTCGGGCCTAATGTGTTCATGCTTATGCGAGTTGAATTTATTCGAGTTGATAGAATCTTGTTTGATTGATTGATATAATCGAAGAGTGACACTTCGATCTTGCAATTATAAATAATTGAATATTGATTAGTCGAGTTAGGGTTTTGTTGATTCGATATGGTTAGTTGATTAATTCTCTTCTAATTTAATTAACGACTTTAGAACCGATAGGGAAGAAGTCGTAGAACTAGGCTCGCATGAGGTAGATAATTTCGTAGCTGAATAATCTATGTGTTTTTTTATTGAAATACGTGCTTGTTGATGACCCGTCCCTTGTTACGAAAAGTTATTGGGATTGGGATAATTGGCCTGTATTGTATGCTCGAACTTGTTCGTCTATGTTCAATCCCTTGTTACGAAGAGTTATTGGGAGCGAACCGCTAGATGTGTAAGCGAGAGTGTCAATATCAAACCGAACATTTGATTGCCCGACTTTGCTAGAACTTTAATTAATTATTCCCGATTCCTTAGCTTCTCATCTTTGTTTCGTTCTTATTTTTAGGTAGATTTATATTTTTGCTTAGTTCGTTATTTCTTAGCTGATAAATCATTCAATCCTTATCTGATTAGTATGTTTAGGATTTATTTTGCTTTTATGTGCTGTCAATACCAAAGCTGAATTCAGAACCGCCTTCCTCGTGAGACCGACCCGGGGAGCGAATCTTTCGATTCGATACTCGGTAAAAAGAATAATTTGTACACAACATATACTAAAATCAAATTTATATTCATATAAATGTGTTAGTGAGATAATATATTAATTATTTTACAAGCTAGCCCTAACATGCTCATATGTAATGTTCTGACTAAAAAAAAAAAACGGTGATTAAAAGTGGTGGAAAATAGATTATAATTCTATGTTTTTTTAGATCTAACGTTGATTAAAAGTGAAAATTAGATGATAGCCTTATTGCTTTTTATACTTAATCGAACAAGGCATGTGAAAATAACTTAATTAGCATATTTGTCACGTGTATCGCACAAAGTACGTACTAGTTAATTGTAAGAGAAGAGATGGAAGAGATCAATTAGGATTTAATGTTGAATAATATAGCCATTAAATAAAATAAAAACTTACTTATTTTTGTATAAAAAAATATTAATTTATATCTAAGTCTGACTCCAAAATATGATTTTTTGTCATATAGAATTCCGAAGCGTGAGAGAATGTCACATACATTTGAAAAATAATATGTAGAGCGGATTAAAAAATGTGTAGTAAATTCATTTTTCAATAAATAGTAGAGCATAGAATGTTATTTTTATTTTTTTAAAATTCTCGGTATTAAATTTATTTTCGGTAGACAATAACAATATCTTAAATACTATATGGGTCGCCATTTCGCAGGTTGACAGACACCTCTCTCTCTTCACCGCCCTGGGTAGACTCACGACGAAAGACTGGGCAGGTTGTACACCGCCCCATCGTTTGAGGCCGCCGCCTCCATTACCTGTCCAGCACCCACGACCCAGGACCGTTGTTTGGTTGAAACCCAAGGCCCCTTGGGTTAAGCTAAACACTGATGGCGTTTTCGACAGACATACCGGAGATGCTGGTGGAGGGGGCCTGATTAGGGATCATGGTGGGGCACTCATCTCTGCCTTCCATGGGCCACTCCGGGCCTCCTCGAGTTATGATGCTGAGATTCAGGCGCTTCAGATTGGTCTTGAGATCGCTGCATCGATATCCTCCCATATCTGGATAGAGATGGATGCCGCACCTGTCATCACTCTTTTGACATCTGGCCACCAGGGCTCATGGCAGATCCAACATCTCCTTATGCGCATCAGAGACACCCTTCGTTCGATCCATTACCTGTCTCACACATTTTCCGAGAGGAGAATCGGCCCGCTGATTTCCTTGCTAGCACGGGGGCATCTATACTCCAGAGACGCATCCTTCACCCTGAGGACATTCCGCTCTGGCTTCGGACGCTCATTCGGATGGACCAGCTAGAGTACCCATCCTTCAGATTCGGACGACCACCACCACCTGACCCTGACTAGATTTATCGTTTTGGACTTAATGCCAGGCCACTCTGACCAGGATGACCACCTATGAGGACTTGTTTTGTAGATGCACTTTTGGTCATTTTGTGATCCTTGTATTTTTTGATTTTCTATTTTGATATTGTGCTGTGTATCCTTGACACTGTTGTAGACCTTTGACTTTTTTAGCCCTTTTTGGGTCTTTATATTCACAGGTTGGGGGTGTAGTCTCAACCTCTCATCCCACTCTGGGATGTTTATATAAAAAAAAAAATAATGAGAGAAAAAAATATATGGGTCGCCATTCCAGACAAGCTTCCTACACGCGGTTCAATCGATTTTACGACATATTTTATGGATTTTAATAGATATTAATTAAAATTGCTTTTGATAATATAAATGATATATGAAATTAAATTAATAATTCAATTAATTTTGAAATTGATTAAAAATCTTGAATCGTCCATCTTCAATGTACCAAATCCAACATAATCCATTTAAAAAAATGAAATGAAAAAGATCTTTTGTCTTGTTAATTTTCGATTGAATACGTGTCCTTTCTTGTTCCATTCTTCTATTTTTATTGTAGGGTTTTTTTTCTAAATAAACCTTAATTTTTTTTTTTGCGTTTGATAATTTTATCTCATTATTTGGGTAATTGCAATATAATCTCGACCTCAATTTACTTATTGCAAATGGAATCTAAAATTGATTGGACTTTAAAAAAAATGATCGATTTGAAGGCAGTTCGAACAGATCGAGCTCATATTTCTCGGTTCACTCCAGATTTAGGATGAGACTCATCACCGGTAGCTTACATTGACGTGAAATTTTCGGTTTTGTGCGTGGATATACATTAAATACGTGGAAATTATCAACTTGCTACGTGAGTGGCATAAAAACTCATGTCAATGGAAGACTTGGACACAAAATCGATCCACAAATCTCTAAAATCAATCACTCTGCACTCAAATTTACAACAAGTAATTGAGGTCAAGATTATATTTTAATTAAGTCTTTCTTTTATTTTCCAGTGTTCATATTTTTTATTATACTATCTTCTGTTTTCACAATCCTGTCAATATTTATTACCCCACTTCACCTTACTCTGTGAAAAATGTCACACAATTTCCTCATCCAAAATCCTATCCCTGTTCCTCTTTTCTTCATCCTCTGAATATTGTTCATATTCAATTTCCTAAAAAAATAAAAAATAATCATAAATTCATCTGAGCAAATCACATTTTTCTCAATTTGGAGGCGAAATCGAGTAGATGAAATCTATGAATCTCGTGGATTCATGGGTCCAGACCTGCTCCGCCGCCTTCCGGAGGCCGTCTCAGCTCAAATCCCTAATCAGCTTCGCTGCAATCGATCCCGTATTCTACCGATCCCGGCGCCGCGCCTCCGCCCTCACCGTCGTCGCCGAGGAGGGCGCGAAGAACATCGCCGCCGTGGGGGAGAAACCGCCCTTCGATTTCAAGGCCTACGTGGCGGAGAGGGCCGATTTTGTCAACAGGGCACTCGACGACGCCGTTTCGGTCAGGGACCCGCCGGCAATCCACGAGGCGATGCGGTACTCACTCCTGGCCGGCGGGAAGCGGGTCCGGCCGATGCTGTGCCTCGCCGCGTGCGAGGTGGTCGGAGGGCAGGTGTCCGCCGCCGTCCCAGCAGCCTGCGCGGTGGAGATGATCCACACCATGTCCCTGATCCACGACGACCTGCCGTGTATGGACAACGATGATCTCCGCCGCGGGAAGCCCACCAATCACAAGGTTTACGGCGAGGACGTGGCGGTGCTCGCAGGTCAACCATCATTTATCCTAAAATATTTTTTGTTGTAAAATACAATATGAAATATATATACAATCACTATTTGCACGCTAGACCACATCTTGACCATACACGTGACCTTTTTAGGGATGATCGGATAGTCAAAAAAAGTCGAGCGTGCAAATAATTATATATATGTAGTTCAAGTTGCATTTTACAAGAAAAATTACTTTAGGTTGAAAATCTTTAAAGCACGTACAAAAGCACGTACAGTATAGGTTGAAAAAAATTATTATTATTTTTTTTAACAAATGGTACCTAGGCTCTAAAATGTCTTATAGGTTAGGAAAAATTTATTTACCCTTTTTTTTTAACAAATGGTATCTAGGCTCTAAAATGTCTTACTTTTATGTACATTAGTTTGAGTAAGTTTGAAATATTTGTACTCTAAAATATCATACTTTTATTTATATTAATTTTAAAATAATAATAGTTCAGTTTGAAATATAAAATATTGAAAAAATATGACTATCTCTTTATTTACAAAAACTTACTATTTACGCAATCACATATTTCTAATTATATCAGATAACAGATGTGTTTACATTTTAAATTTTGACTTATATGCAAATGTGTAATGTAAATATAAATTATTTAGCTTACGTATAAATATTTATATTGATGTCATAAATTTTAATGAACAATATAATTTAGTAATCGAGAGGGACCATACATTTAATTAGTTAGAAAAGTATTATAATTATTTTTATCATTGTTATTGCAATTGTCTAAATGATTTTAATGTGTTTAATTATGACATTCATACCAATTAATTAATATTAGATAAAAAACGCTTAAAAAGACAAAAAAAATATTTTATTTTAGAAAAAATATTTTAAAGAAAAAATCTGCAATACAATTTTTTATAAGTATGTAACTTCCACATATTATTTACTGTAAAATTATAATCAATTAGTGTTAGTAGTAATATTATATAATAAATTAGTTTAAAATTGTTATTACATTTTATTAATGTAAAATGTAACGTTTATCGGTTTATGCATTAGTTGAAAAAATGAGCGGGAAAATTATGAAAGTTTTATTAAATAATTTTTATTTAATCGTCTGCCAGCAATTATATATATATAGATTTTTAACTCATATTAATTTACAAACTTAAAACTAAGCCACCGTTCCACCCAATCAATTTTTCTCTCGATTTTAACTCATTTTATCCAATCAATCGAAATTAACCCAAAAAATAAATTTGCGTAGGTGATTCCCTACTGGCATACGCATTCGAGTTCATGGCCACAACCATAACCGACGTCCCCCCCGACCGTGTCCTGGCGGCGGTTAGCGAGCTGGCCAAGGCCATTGGCACGGATGGCCTTGTGGCCGGTCAGGTGGTTGATCTCAGCTGCACGGGCACCAACTCATCGGTTGGGCTCGACACTCTGGAGTTTATACACGTGCACAAGACAGCTGCCTTACTCGAGGCTTCCGTGGTCATCGGGGCTATTTTGGGCGGAGGGAATTCCGAGCAGGTGGAAAAGCTAAGGACTTTCGCCCGCAAAATCGGGCTGCTTTTTCAGGTGGTGGACGATATTTTGGACGTGACTAAGTCGTCAGAGGAGCTCGGTAAGACGGCCGGGAAGGACTTGGCGGTGGACAAGACGACTTACCCGAAGCTGATGGGGCTCAACAAGGCTCGGGAGTTTGCGGGGAGGCTGAACGAGGAGGCGAAGGAACAGCTGACAGATTTCGACCGGGAGAAGCGGGCCCCGCTGGCGGCGCTGGCCGATTACATTGCTCACAGGCAGAATTAGGGATTACAAGAATTGGATTTGGTGGAGAATGGAGATAAAATTGTGTGGGCTTTTTGCAGCTTTGCTGAGGTTGTGATAGGTCTGTATAAGATCAGTTTCATTTTCAAATTTCAGGTAAGTCCATCTTTGAGGGGGGAAAATTGATTTTTTTTTCCTTTTTTTTTTTTAAAAAAAAGTGTTTATGAGCGAGGCACGAGTGCTTATAAATGAAGAAAAAATAGATATAACTATTTCCATATGCTTGTAGATATTGTAATTGTAGTCCAGTTCACAACGGCCAACTCGAGAGTTTAGTAGCTATCAAGATATGCCAATTGTAAACTTTTAGGCTGCAATTGATACAAGTTTTAGTTTTTTTGGATGTGATTTGGATTTATTGAATAAGTTGAACTAAAGTTGAAAAAAAAGTGATTGAGTAATTTTGAATTGGATTTTGAGTTTGTAAACTTTGTGTTTGGAGATGTGTTAAAATAAAATGAATAAAGTCTAAGTGGCGTAAAAATATGAGATGTGATTGAATTTGATTGTTACTTAAAAGTATGTGAGTGAATAAATAGTGAACGTTGATGTGACGTGATAGAATGATTGGTTGATAATATTTCATTATTGATAATATTGAGGAAAATTAAATTGAGTTAGATTTCACCTTTATTTTGAGTTTAAAGATTGAGTTCAAATTTGTTTGGTGGATTGGAAGTGCTTTAGATTGGTTAAATTCGAGTTGGAAATATGTCCAATGGCACCCTCGAAATTCTATAATTCTTTGGGGGTGATTTGATTTTATTAGAATATTTAACTTGTCCCACATCTTTTATATATGAAAAATATGCTTAATTTATAAGTCTAATGAGTTACTCCTCTTTCCACCAATTGGTTTCGGGATAGAAGTTTACTTGGGTTTTATCTAGACTTTCTCTGTCTTAGTGCCCTAATAGGGCTTGGGCACCCAGCTCTATATATGAGAATGGTTTTCTTATTAAGGACCCTCAAATGAGGCGGCAGGGCTTGGGCACCCAGCTCCGTGTACGAGCATGGACTTTATGAGCATGGACTTTCTTATTAAAGACCCTCAAGTGAGGTGAAGCTTATTAAAGACTCGCAAGTGAGGCGACTTCACGTGCGTCTGTTTCTAATAGGGCTTGAGCACCCAACTTCGTATAGCATGGGCTTTCTTATTCGTCTTAGGCTCCCAGCTCCGTATATGGGCATGTGCTTTCTTATTCGTCTATTTCTAATAGGCCTGGGCACCCAGCTCCGTATATGAGCATGAACTTTCTTATTAAGGACTCACAAGTAAGGCGGCGTATCGCTTCACGTGCGTGGGACTGCACTCGTTTTTCTCCCTATTTCTGACAGGTGTAAATTATTTTGATTTTAATTAGATTTATTGAATAAATTGAATTATTTTTTATAAAGGTGATTAAGTGTAGAATTGAGTAATATTTTGAGTTTGATTTAACATTTAACAATTAAAATTAATGTGATGTAAAAATAAGATATATGTGATTTGAAGTTTGGTGATTTAATAATATGTAAGTGGACAAATAATTAATTAAAATTGATGTGTATGATAATTTTGCATCCAAAATATAGCAACGTATGACATATGAAACTATCTATCGGTTAAACTCATTTGTGTTCCTTACTTTTCAGGGAAGAAAGTGAGAACATTGTGTAATATATAAATTGTGTTGGGTATGAATTGTGTTGGGTATGAAAGGAAAATGAAAAGATGGAAATTTCATTTGGGCTCAAATAATTGGCTCTTGAAGATGTGGGCTTTGATGTCCGCACCCATCTCCCTTATCTCGTAATCTCTCGGGAAATTTTTATGTCCTACAAGAATCACAAAAAATTGCAACTTTATAAATCAAATAAAAATAATTGCATCTATACATAAAATATGGGAATTAATTAGGGAATTATATCATGCCAGTTTCCATACAAATCAAACGGTCCCCCCTTAATTGGTCCATGAAATATTAATAAAATAAATACTTAATATATTGAAGGAATATATTACCAAAATAATATGTGAATCATTTTGACTGAAATTTAGAAAGAAAAAAAAAAATTGCATTTGAAATTTAATCACGGGATCTGCGCTGGATCGCTAGTCCTGCACAGACTTTGCACTGCCCTCGATTCTCTTTCTATGTCGATGTGACTGCAGGCATGAGTGTTCAGGTACGCCATCAGTCCATTTTCCTAGCAGTATTTTGCAGTTGTCTTTGTTTTAACGACAAAAGAATCAATACAGTCCCGAAGAGCGGAACGGCCATCCAACTACCCCAAACACAAGGGTGGGAGGAGACCGTCCAGGTCTCTCATAGTGCAGGTTGGGAGGTGCTCTCAGCCTGTCGTAACAACGAAACAAAACTCCAGCTTTCTTTAGTGGTCCCTTCTGGTTGATCACTTCGGTGTTTAAAAGTAGCTCCTTCTTGTCTTCTTTCAAGTAGGTGAGTTCTCAATGTAATCGTAGCGCCTTCTTGTCTTCTTTCAAGTAG